CTATATATATATATATATATATATATATATATATATGCTTACTAATTAGTATTATTAATAACATTAAATATACAATAAAACATTAATTTCGATATCATGGAATCCGGCCATTCTTATGTTAAGAATCCGAAATTTATCAATAAAATGAATAAAGAAAAATCCTTATGTTCTATAAGACAAATACATTGCAAGAAAGTGAAGCTAATTTCAACATTTTGCTTCTAAATTTATCATCTCTATTATTATTTATCTATTATTTATCATTGACCTGCTCTGCATAATTGATTTTATTTACCTATTTCTCCTTATTTCATTTGTCAAATATCTATCTTATATTAACATAAATTAATAATATCGATTATCAAATAAATTCTTTATTAGCATTGTTCTGATAAAAAAAAATTACCTTTAAGCGTGATGTGCTTTTGAAAGAAATTTTATAAAATTGATAACGAAACTTTTTATACCGTTTATTATTTATTTTTAGACTTCACTTTCTTATAATGTACTTTCTTTTGATAATAAAGCGATATTGTCCATTTATGTGTTAATCTTTTAAGACAAATCGAAGAAAATAAGCTTATTAGCTTTTCATTATGCGACGTGGCTTTATCGATATTTCGTATGAGCGTTAGCTGTTATGATATTAATTATTGTATATTCGTATACTGTATACGTGATGTATATGTATATGTTGTACAGAGGATAAGAAGGGCGGCGTCGACCGGAGCAGCACGGTCATTGCTAAAGAACCCGAAGGTAAAGCCAATTCTAAGGACTGAGAAATGTTTTGACGTTTCAACGTCTTTTCTTTTGTGTATTATATTTTTAACTTGCGTATGTGCGTATGCGCGCGCGGTTGTGGCGCTTGTATTTTGTTGTGTGTGTGTGTGTGTGTGTGTGTGTGTGTGTGTGTGTGTGTGTGTGTGTGTCGGGCGCGCGTGTGTATACACATACGTATCGTACATTACTTTGTGAACGTTCCACGATCAAACTGGCCTCTCCCAATCCGTGTTTTTAACATTTAGTTAAACAAGAAATATTTCAATTATACATAATTTGTCTACGTCTATGTGAAGGCAAATCTAAAAATATATGATATATATCAAAATATAAAATATAACATAAGTCCAATGCATCGATATTTTGCGTGATATTATAATTATATTGTTAGTACAATTTTACCGTGTATTTTATATTTTGTTTATTGCAATTTATATAATGTTGTATGTTTGTGAAATTTTTTGTGCTTTTAACAAAACGAACGCAATCGGCATATTAATAATAACACGTATCGCGAGTGAATAGAGTTTTTTTTTTGTACAGATAATTTTTTTGTACTCTTACGATATATTTCGTGTTTCATGAAATCGATACGGCACTTTGTCCAAGCGAACATGTGGATAGATAATCTCACGTTGTCGTGGCTGATGACATGTTTGTGAATAACAACCGATAGAGTCATATACGTAAATCCGAAGTGCATGAAACGAGAATTATTTTTATTTCACAGAGAGACAAAGTTTTATACGCTCTCGTTTTGTACAAATTTTCTTTGTATAGAATAGTTTTCGAGAATCTTGACTTAATCTGATGTAAATTTATCTAACCGCAGCATTTAATCAAAAATTAATTGCAACTAATGACAATCGCAAGATATCATGGTAATGCTTTGCAAAATTATGATCGTAACAAATGGAATTTACATTCAGCGGTCCGCGTTCCTGCTGATTTACATTATATGAAAATTATATACATAAAGTTAATTATTTATTACATTAATGTCATTTGGAGAATTATCAATTATTTGTACAAGTACTTGAAACTAATTACCTATTAAGACAGTTAAAATGCATACTATCCACCTGCATATATAATGCAATTTTTAATTTATTATGATTAAAATCCTTTTATAACTTTTGAGTGTAACCACCAACTCTTGAGAGACACAGGATAAGATATATTCTTTCCCGTAAGCATGCGACATCGCGCCTGTTATATTTAAAATTTAGAAACGACTTACATGATCGCTTGGATTCTCCCCGGTAAAAGTCAAGCGTCAATAGATTATCGCATCGTAATCTTTTTAATCAAAAAGCAGCTTTAGTCAATAAATAAGGTGATCTTTCGAGCATATGCGATGTTGCAAATTTTGAATCTTTTTTTTTTACAAAGAGCTCCGATTCGTCTCCAATGATCTATGGTATTATTTCTTCACGTCCGCAAACACGACCAGCGTTAGCTTTCGACGCGTTCGCGTCATTGACGATGTTTATCCGAAACACAAAATATTGCCGGGAAAAGGATAATCAGAGTATATCGTCACGATTGGGAGAGAGCCAATTTCATGAGTGGCTCCGTGCCCGAGTTTCGAGCTTTTGCACTCTTTCTGTTACCGCTTTTGCGAAACTGAACAGCGGATTTACCGTCTCTCCTTTCGTCTTGCCCGATTAACATTTCGGATAACTTTGTCTCTCTTTTCCATTTTATCCACGAGTTTTATACACGAGTTCTAATCAATCTAAAATTAATCCCGTATAGTACAGACCACCAGAGAGGATCCTCCTGAAGTCCCATTTTGATTGTCGCTTCACGACAGCAAAACTGCTTCTCGTAGCTAATGCAACGGCAGCTAGAGATTAGATTGTCTGATGAATTATTGTGATTGACATTAATCAAACTGATCGTCGAATCCTGTAATTACATAGCATTACGTAGGAACGACGTATCCTTTGAATCACCGTGTGTTTAGATGTCCGTATCTAATTAGATCACGATGGCTATTAATTTATTGTCTCTCCCCGTTACTAACACGACGCCTAATTCTCCTAATTACCACTTGTTATAATTACATCATTGATTAATATATAGTAAGACGAAAGTGATTACGCTTGCGTAAAAAGTGATATCGGATCAATTCACTTTCTTTACAATACATTTAGAATACATTTTTACAAATAAATATTTTAGCGCAATATAAATCATATAAACACGTAGATACTTTCTATAGAAAATAGAAAAGTAAGAGAACATAATATATTCTTAATTTTATTTTCATCATTCTTACATTTTTGTAGTTATAAATTATTCGTAATTAAATTTGAATTTTTTATTTTTCCGTTAGAAGAATTTTATACGTGTGATGCAACAGAATAAAGTTATATCGTAATAATTATAATGTAATTTATAATCGCAATTGAAAAGGAATTGAAACAATTGGAACAAAATAATAAGTTGAAATAACAAATTGATCAGCTAATAATCGCGAATAATTATCAATCCTTTGTATAATCGAGCATATATAATCGAGTCGCTGCTGTCAAATTATAACCATCTCATAATAATGATATAAAAGAGTAATGCTATAATGATAATTAGAAAATTATAATGAAATTTCAACTAATTAACGTAGGAAACTTGATGAGTTCTGAACTTAGACACGGCATAATTTAAGCCTACGTATCATAATTAATCACGCAGTTGAAAAAAGCTGCACTGGAATATAACTATATATTTTTATCATCGATACGCGATAACATTTAACCTTTCTCATTTTGATCAAAATGTAGGAAAAAATTAATATATCGTTTGATATTAGAGCACAAATATTTCCAGAATGTACACACAATGATATTATGATTTTTTTCGCACTATGTCACAAATCTACGCTGAATTATGTAATCCTTTCTTGCACAAAATGAATTATTACTTCCAATTATTTCACATTTCGCAAACACGAAATTATGTGTTGAAATTTTATTTCAATAAGAAACATTTTTTTTTTTGACAATTGTATCATGTGTATATATTACATGTGTACGCATATACACATTGTTTCTTTTTTTTTATTTATTTTTTTTTTTATTTTATTTTCTTCTTATCAAGTGAACGAATTTCTCTGCGGAAAACGCCGTGACTTCACTCTGCCTCGCGCGTGCTTGAAACGTACTGTCAACAAAAATACCTGGCTGCTTGGTGTTACATGAAAATAGATCGGCAGCGGTTCAAGACGCCGTCATATGTTCGGCCTACCTTCGGCGAGTGAGTTAAGTCGCGCACGACAGACACGTTTTCTTCATTTTAGATTTCGCAGTGTCCAGCTACTTTATAAATTTTTCAGTGCTACGAGAGGGATTTACTCCTTTTTCTCTTCGCAAAACGACAGTTTTTATATACTTGGTACCGTTTGTACCGTTATTCTGATAATGTCGTGTAGATATCGCGCGTGATTTCGTGGAAACGCCTTTCCAGAACACCTTCGCGATGTCTGCTAATGACACACCCAGCTCGTCCAAGTACACGGAGAATTACGGTGAGTTTTTAAAAATTTTGATTCTTCGACATTTTATTCGTATTTCCATCTCGCACGATTACACTTCACCTTCGTGTTAGCATTTGGTTGATATCGGATAATCGACGGTACTTACAATACCTCCTCGGTATAAATGCGCGTTGCCAGAATTTGTTCTGGAATAATGCGATAAATGTCCAGTTTTGCAAACAAATTTTATTCATTTCTTACAACAATAAGAATATATATAAAAAACGTATATAATTTTAATATAATCACGATAACTTTACCGTGATTTTAAGAGTGTTTAGTGTACACGAATTCTTTATTCGCAAACTTTTTTTATTAATTTCTTATCAAATTGATCTTTCGCTTGTTAGAAAAAGTTGGAAGATTTAACTTTAAATATCTTTAGGCGCGTCCTCGAATTAAACTGTCTCAAAGTCTTGTTGAAAATAAATTTATGCTTAAAAGCTTCTCAAGCTGAAATCATGGATTATCGATCTTTCAACAGCTTCAGAAACTCGTTGCCGATTCTGCTCTTCTCGTTAAACTTGCAAACTGTCTATGACAATGTTTTACATGTAAAACGAGCTTCCGTTGCGATTAACTATGCGCTACGCTATAGTCAGATCGACGATTACATATACGAAAACGCATTTCTATTTCAAGAATAAACCTTGTCTAGAATTCACGAACGAAAATTGAACGCGTGATCGCATTCTTGTTCCTCACATACAAGATCTTTAATATACGTAAATTATTGACGGCGTCTATTTTCCTCCCTCTCTTTTTATAATCTGTAATATTAATGATCCCGATCAAATAATATTAGACTTCTCTTTTACGCTTCGAACACACTTTTCACAAACTAATCTTCCGTTAACATTGAAATTTTTGTTTTGAACTAATGCTTCTCTCTATTCTTCCAAAGAATATTCCTGAAAAGTAACACGAACGTACTCTCGTCACGATATTTATAAATGTTGCTCGATAACGTTGTATTAACTCTCGATTAACATGAATCGCCTTAAATCCAACGTCGCTTCGCGATTTCGAACATTTTGTGGAAATTTTAAACGCACTCTCCGCGTTAATCGACCGATACTTGAGGTTTGCTTTTTATATAACGCTTCTTCGATATCTTTTCCTTTATTCTTGATATTGCAAATAAATTATGTCGCGCTGCGACAACAATCGTCTTGAAAAATCCGTTTGATGCCTTTTGCGCTTTGTGATTATTGTTATCGTTTTTCATCCATGTTATTGTTGATCGGTGCGTTGCACCTCGCGAAAGAAAAGAATCCCCCTCCGGAACAAAAGCTCTTGGCTCGTCCAAAGGTACACCCCCGAGCAGCCCCGCGACAATGTCCGCGTTCTCCAAGGCGGTCGGTGCGGCCACAACGAGCATGGCGAACAACAAGCAGGCGCCGAACCAGGCCCAGTCCCAGACCCAGCCTCAGATTCAAAGTACAGTCAACCCCCTTGGAATTGCCGCGGTTCTTCTTCAAGGGGCCCAAGGTAAACTCAGGGATTTAGACCTGACTGAAATTAGATCGCGAATGGTGTTTTCGAACTTTAGTTATCGATCCTTTGCGGCCCTACATTCTTAAATAATTCTCGAAGTATTTCGAGATTAATATCCATCATGATTATATTTCTAAACTTTAAAAAAAAAACTTTATAAAAAATTTTATAAATTTAAGAAAAATTAAAATTTACAAAAATATCAGAATTATTTTTCTTGCATTAAAAGCTATGAGTTTAAGGACAAAAAACTCTTATCCCATTTATAGATTTTGAGTTCAATTTAATAGCTAGTAATATCGTCCTTGAATTGAGGAGAAAGTACGATAAGTGATCTTTCATCGATTAATTCGCGAAAGCGTCGGATTCATCCAATTTATTGCGATAGATTATGTCGAACCGATGACGATTTCGAACATGTATTAACAAAGACGAAACATGGAATACGACTTTTGTGGGATATGTATTTTTGTTAAAAATATTGAATATTTGATTTTCGAAGAATACTTTTCGAAATGTCTCATGATCAAAATATGTTTCTGTTATCGTCGAACTGATGGTTTAATTTTTTCGAATGTAAAATTTTTAAACTGATTATTCTTTCATTCCATTGCGAGAAATGCGATATTCTCTTATTATGGAGAAATTTGATTTGTCAATCGATTTGTCGATGTGAAATAATGATTCGAAATAATGATGTGCTTGAAGAGATGACGAGTATATCGAAATATACAAATTGCTACATTATATTAAATAAAATGATATGATCGATATGATAGTAGATACTTACAACATTCTTTTATTTTGTTAAGGAATTATTCCACAACGAAAAATATTTTTCAACATGGATTGTTTAGAATTGTTTAGTAATTAAGAAATATTTGTTATATTGAATGGAAAGAAACTAAAAGAATATAAATAATAATTACAGTTGGTAGATTGAATAACAATACCGTACAATGTTACATATAATATTATAAGCATGCACGCACGCACGCACGCACGCACGCACGCACGCACGCACGCACCACACACACACACACACACACACACACACACACACATGCGCGCGCGCGCGCGCGCGCAGGAATCGAATGCGAAATGCGTCAATCATGATTTACTTGAATTTTTCGAGACATATAAGCATAAATGAAAAGTTTTTTGACAAATCGCGAAAAACTTCCGCGGATTTGTTTCGCAATAATTGTCGTTTAATCTCTCTCTCTCTCTCTCTCTCTCTCTCTCTCTCTCTCTCTCTCTCTTTTTTTCTCCCTTTTTTCCATCCTTCTCTTGCTTCTTCCTCATTTCTTCTTCACTCGTTCTTTTTCTTTATCTCTGCTTACTCGCAGGACAAGAAATAACCACGTATTTAGGAAGAAGATAATAAAGTACAATAAAGAGCGATTTTTTTTATCGACGAATTGGTAAGGTCCACCACAGTCGGAAAAGTCATTTCTGCTTCCACGCTTTACCGAGATTCTTTGTAGAGAGCTGCATATATAGACCGTTACACACATATGTGTATATACACGTGTTCATACTGCACGCGACGCACAATAATAATTCTTAATAAAACTAGGACAAGACAAGAATCGATTTAGTCAGTTTTTTTTTTAAGAGAGAGCACCATTACAATTTTTTATAAAGAAATTTTTCTTTTTTTTTATGTGATATATGATAAATATTTGTGAAATTTATTAGAATAATACATTCCCCGTCTTGCTTATCTACCACTTTTCTTTTGGTGCTTCGCAACTTTACGCCTTCTCACGCTTTTTAGTTTTATCTGATGGCTTGTCTATTCTTTCATGCGTACTATATATTCATATTCGCATATTCACATGTATTGAGCGATTTTTTTAGGTTTTATGTATATACCAATTTAACTGGACGATTGAGCAGTAATTTGATCAGTAATTTTCTCTTACTTTTTTTAAGCTTTTCTCTCTGTTGAACAGAACATACACGGTTATAAAATACAATTCGCGATTCGCATTTGACATCTCGCTCTTTCGATGATGTATCTTGCAATGACTCTTTGCTTTGCCGCTCTTTCATCGAATCTTTATTCTTTATGGATTTGATCCACAAGAATAGGCGACGACGCAATGATCGATCGTATTTTACACCATCTCACTAGCGCTATGCTCGTTCTTGTTGAATTCTACAAATAAAATGAGTTCGAATTCGAACGGTCGAGTAGAAACAGACGAGCAACGAAGAATAAAATAAATATATTGTGAAAAAACTAATTAAAATTAAAATTTTTTTATTTACATATATTATTCAAAGTATATTTTATTTATTAGTGTAATAATTTCTTTAGTTTTATAGTTGCTTTTATGTATGTATGTATGTATGTATGTATGTATGTATATACAGAATGATTCAAAATAACCCATATGTCCAAGAGACATATTCCTAAGCGTATTCTGAGACAACTTTTTCTTTGATAAAAATTTGTTTTGTTTGTTTGTTAGTTTTTAAGTTGTAAAGAGAAATAGTTATAGGTCGGATACAGAAAGTAAGCAGGGGCGGTACAATTCACCGTTACACGCGGGTGTTTACGTGAGGCGCCTATCGCGATCAGCTGACACAAAATAGAGAGAGTACACGCATACATACTTGTGCATACTTATGTATAAATACATTATGAAAACAAGGATTTGTGAAAGACGGCAAGTATAGGTCAAGCCGATCATTGTCGGTCATGACGCAACGAGACGGAACGAGACGCAATGCAACGCAACGCAACGCCACGCGACGCGACGCGATACGACACGTGAAGGCTTCTTTAACGTTGACATTAGTTTGTGTTTGGTTGGTTGATTGCATGACTAGCTGGCAGCACAGGAGGCAGTAGCAGCAGCGGTAGCAGCAACAACAGCCAGACCAGTCAGGCCAGCGCGTCTTCATCGTCGCCGACCAGCGTCAGCTACCAGGTCAACGGCAACAACGGGCCGAAGGCATCGCGACATCAGGAATCCTCGGCCACCGGTCTGTAGCACGAAAGTCTGGCCTCAAGTCTCCTAATATCATTCCCGTCTCTTCACATCTCTCTCTCTATACTCTCCTCTTTTCCTAGAGGGCGGAACTAATCAAATTATTCTTTATTTCACTCTCAATTGGTATTAATTATGCGTCGACTTTGTCAAAGCATCAATTTTGAGAGTCTTTCGAGAGTCTTCAGAAATTGAAGGATATTTTAGGCACGTATTTGCGAAAAGAGTAGAACTATTTCAAAAGTTTTTCATATATTATTATTGTATATTTGTCGCTTGATTCTTTTCAATTCTTTATCTAATTTATGAAAATATTGGGGATTACGATCGCGCGTAAGGATATTTATGGGACGACTAGACAAAAGTATCGCCCGAAAATCACGTGTTTATTTGTGCCGTCTATAAATAAACTCGGTATTAATGCTCGGCAATTAATTTACGAGAACAATTCGATTACATCCGCAAAACGAACGATAAACAAAATGGATAATAAATGTGCAAAAATAATGAGATCAATTACAATAACCGACTCGTTTGAACATCGATTCCAACTTACGATGGCTGCGATGGTCGTTGAAACAATATTATAGTAAACGCAAATATCAAGTATATTCATAATATGCGATCAATATAAATTCTTGAAAAGTCTTGATGAGTAAAATTGAATGGGCTCGAGAGTAATTTTTACTTGCGCGTATCTTTCGTTCTTTCTGATCTACTTACGTTCGAAATCTACTTCATTGCTTTCAAATTTAATGAAATCTCGCGTTATATGGTGGAAGGTACAATTGGAAAATTAACAAACGAAGATTATAACAGAATTTGTTTTCTATTTTATACATATAACCAATCATTTGTTAGTCATCAATATTAAACGGAAAATATTAACGACGATATCCAATGCCCCGCGATAATTTATTTCTTTATTGGGAGAAGCTTGAGCTTTTTATCATAACCGCGTATTTCTTCATTATATTATTAGAAAAAAAGACAAGAGCACAAAAAAATGTAACTCAAATCGCATCGAGAGATCTTCGAGTATGCGAAGTCAATGCGCATAAATTTAGGTTCTTTCCGCCTTCTATCCTCTTTTCTCACAATTGTGATTTATCCCGATTGCCGTTGAGCCGATACCTCGCAAGCGCGATTTAATCCAATGGAGAAGCTTCTTCGTCTTCAAGGATATTATCCGACGGGACGTTACCTTGACCGGCATTATGTCAAGTAGTTGCCGCCTGCACGAATCAGGCAATTGACGTTAATACGATTATATCAACGTTGACACCTAAATAGCGTTCTCGATGAGATTAACGTTTCGAATGCATGAGACAAAGACGTTCGATCGGTCTTTTCAAATATCGTGAATTATAAACGGAGCGAAAATGGAAAATGGAATTGGAATTCGGACTAAATCCCACGAGGTTGAGACAAAAGTGGATATTCTCGTCGGATATAACATACCCCGGAATAGTAAAATTCAATAGAACCATCGATTTGCAAGGATTTGATATCGCATTCGATTTACCTAAAATTCTCTTTTATTTAAATGCAACTCTTTATTTAAACATTGTCCTTTTTTTTAAGTCATAAATTTACATATATGTATACGTACGTGTACGTTACGTTCGGCTTATCTCTAACCATTTAATTATCTCTGCAAGTATGATTATTGACGAAGCTTCGAGTTATCGAGCCTTCTCCTTCAATATCCCTTCCCCTTCTCTCTCCCTCGTCCCGCGGGATTATTGCGCAATGGCGTTGCGTTACCAGTTTATTTCTGTCTCTTTGTGTCTCTGTGTGTTTCCGCATGCTGCACGTACGCTTTCGCATACCGCCTTGCGATCGCGCACGTTTCTGTGTGTGTGTATGTGCACCTGCATGCACCTATTCTGCAAAAAAAAAAAAAACCATGCAGAGTTGAAAGCGCAACGGATGGGCTACGTCCTGAACGAGGATCCCGAAGACGGTAAGGGAACCATCGATACTCGTAAACTTGGGATAAACGCGAGGGAGAGCGGCACGCAGCAACCATCGTGCTGGAGCCTCACATCTTGCGGTTTGCTGTGAAATCTACGTGTAGATGTGTAACCTATGCGTCTCGCCACGTGCTTGACTCACCTCTTTCACTTATTTTAACACTGGGAAATACGATAAACAAAAAAGGAAAGCTAAGCTAGATACTTGGATCGTGTATCGTAAACGAAAGATAGTTTTAGTAAGACTAAGATTTAAATGATCTAGAAAAGTGACGTGTTTAAATAAATAAAAATGCTGCAACAATATAATTTTGTCTTTTAATTAAAATATTATTGTTTGAAACTATTGTGAAAACTTTTTTATATGACGAACTAAACTTTTTTGAAAGAAAAGAAAAAAGTCAAGGTTTATAATGTCATATTTTGCCATTTGTCATCTACCTCACGGAGATGGAGTTTGATCCTTTTTTCTAATTTTTTGCAATTTCGTTGCATATGGAATTTTGTAAGAACAGGGAATATTGAAAAAAAAAAACAACAAATATCTGCCCTTTAAGAACTTTAAATAACGAGAAAATTAAGAGATAAAATTAAGAGATAATTAAAACTAACTAGTAACTAGTAATTTCATAGACTAGATTTTAGATTTTTATAATTTTCAGATATGTAGATCTGGCGGATACATTAATCATAGATTGTCATTCATTATGTTAATGAATGAATCGAATATCCATATTCCGTTGATTATCCATCCGTTTCGTATCATCCATCATATTGTACGTTCATGTAACGCTGTCTCTGTGTGTCGTAAGCAAGTAGTAAGTAACGGAGATTGTCCATACCGCGTTTGCACATACGTTTACCTTGTCTACTTGACTCGGTATTATTTGTCATCGCATTTATCCCTTTCGTTATGTAGATCGTTCATTGTCGGCCGAAATAAAGTTTCAGAAACGTAAGATTAATTCTTATTACGATGATATCTCGATATTCATGTCGTTATTTAAAACTGTCGAAAAACTGTCGAAAAACTTGGATCGGATATTTACACCTATTTATACCTATATTGAATAAATACATATCTCGCGATATTTCTTATATGACAATTAAATTTATCATCCAAGTGTATGATTATATACTTGGATAATTGCAAAGCATGGCAATTGGCAGGCTCGCCTTTCGGTGACCTCGATAAACGCGTGCTGTATACGCCGTTAACGTTATTCCACGTGTATTCTACGTGTAGCAAGTTGGAGCGAGCAAACTTGCTCACTCGATGCTCCAATGTTCGTTGAGAGCGGAGCTGAATATCGCGGCGAATATCAAAATCGAATTTTCTACCGTGAGCCAATCAAAGTGGTTAGGATCTCTTGGCATGCGTCGTTCATCAGCGTTGATCGAAATCTCTCGCCCACTTGCCTTCGTAATTCCGTCGATCGATCATCTTTTGTATCTTAAATTTATGCTCGCATGCGCGCACAACCGTTTAACGACGAAACGTGTCGCGTAGCGAGTCATAATGGAGAGGACAGGAGGATCCGTCCGGTTTCAAATGTCGCGTCGCATGTAGAAAAATAAGACGAACGAGACGAAGAATGACGAGAAACAATGAATATATGGAAAATGTATTTATTTGCATTTATTTATACAACACGTACTCTCATCATATGCACGTGCTGTACGTATGATGAAAGTGCCAACATTGAACAGCGATAATACCTAAGCAAAACTCGATGCGATACGAGTCTTGCACGACTTTATTGCGTGACTGGACAATGGAAACGGAAAACCACGGTTTGCCTGCAGGAGGAAGATGAGAAAACGAATAACGATAAAAGCTCTCAGGGGAGACGGTTAATCCTCTTAGATGATATCGTACGTGAGGATTAAGCTAATAACTTTTACATTTCGATAAAATTAAAAATCAAGAGGCATATGCTAGGTTTTTGTCAACATTATGCGCCGTTATGTACCGTTCATGCTGATTATTATTTGTATCGGTTCAATTCTTCGATATATGACTGGGATAAATTCCCTTACGTGATAGGAAATGGATTATCGTATTATGTGAATTATATTAAATTACGTTGCTAGATTAAATGTATAAAAGTATTAACAGTTAGCGAGATTTTTCACATTATTATTTAAATGGAAACGGAAATTTAAAAATCTGAAGCAATTTGACACGACGAACGAAGCTTAATCCTCTTTATGTTTGTACAGCAGCTTGAGTATTGTTTTGAAAATTATTTTGGCTTTGGCCCATTTTTTAATACGAAAGGGATATATATTGCTTGTAGACATAAGAATCGTGTGTCCTATCAAGACCTGCAGCCAGCTCTCAACCAACTCCCAGTGCTCAGGTAAAGTGCGAGATTACGTAAGCGATCAATCGATGAATCGACGAAGGAAAATCAAGTCGAAACGAATCGAGGAACTATTCGTCCTCTTCGACTCGTCAGTTTCTTCCTTCTTCATTTCCTTCTTCATTTCCTTACGCGAAATAAAACATATTGTAGAGAAAAAGCAGAACTGAAGCTAAATGAATTGAAGTTTAATTTTTTTTCGAGATTTCTTCTTTATATGTATGCCATTTTTAATATAATTAAGCATTACGAGCATTATTTATTTACTTTAATAAATTCCCGAGTGCTTTGGTTCTTTTTTATCGCAATGTGTTTTGCTCTCTTCAGATATGTTACTGATTTCATTATATGCTATTTGCAATATCGATGTACCGTCTGTCGCAATTTTTATATAATTTATTATATTTCCTGTAATGTGATATTAACAAAAAATTAAGAGAAAGCGATAGTAGTAGATAGTTTGCTAAATATGTAACGACTCTTGCGAGAATTCAGTATTATCATTTTTCGGTACTTGATACGAAAAAGTTAATTGCTCCTAACTTCGATCGATCGTTTATATCACATACATTTTTGATTACTACACACACACACACACACACACACACACACATGCACACATATATATATATCTCAGAATCAGCGATATTAAGAAATTTTTAATTATCGAAAATATTTTCATCGAGCGAATTTCATAATCCCACATCTACGCTATATGATCCAAAATGCTTGCCAACTATTAAATGAGGAAAGTT